ATAGGGTTCATACTTTCACTAGTGCAAGTTCTCTCAACAATGATAACATAATTAGATCATATGGAAATACCTCAACGTGCGACAAAAGTCACTCCAAAGTTCCTATGGTGGAGAACATAAGATAAAATTGCTTGTAGGGTACGAAACCACCTCAAAGTTATTCTTTCCGATCAATCCATTGAGCTATTCCTATAAGTGTCACAAACAGCCCTAGAGTTTGTAGTAAAATAACACCATATGACACACATCAATCAACCCTAATGTCACCTAGATACTCCAATGTCACCACAAGTATCAGTGGGTCAATTATACGATATGCATCAAACAATTTCAGATTCATAATATTCAATCCAACACAAAGAACCTCAAAGAGTGCCCCAAGATTTCTACCAGAGAATCAAGGACGAAAACGTGCATCAACCCCTATGCATAGATTACCCCAATGTCACCTCCGGAATCCACAAGTTGAGTGCCAACACATACATCAAGTGAATCAATAGAACACCCCATTGTCACCATGGGTATCCCACGCAAGACATACATCAAGTGTTCTCAAATCCATAGTAGTATTCAATATGATAATAGTGAAACCTTAAAGGTAAAACTCAATTCATCACAATAAGGTGGAGGGGGAGAAACACCATATGATTCAGCTATAATAACAAAGCTCGCGGTACATCAAGATTGTGCCACATCAAGAACACGAGAGAGAGAGAGAGAGAGAGAGAGAGAGAGAGATCAAACACATAGCTACTGGTACATACCCTCAGCCTCGAGAGTGAACTACTCCCTCCTCGTCACGGAGAGAACCAGGATGATGAAGATGGCCACCGGTGATGGTTTCCCCCTCCGGCAGGTTGCCGAAATGGGCTCCCGATTGGTTTTTCGTTGCTACAGAGGCTTGCGGCGGCGGAACTCCCGATCTAGGTTTCTTTTTCGAGTTTTCTCTATTTATAGGAGTTTTTGGCGTCAGTGACAAGTCAAGGGGGTCCACGAGGCGGCGGCAAGGCAGGGGGTGCGCCCTAGGGGAGGGGTGCCCCCCACCCTTGTGGTTTCGTCGGGACTCCTCTCTGGTATCTTTTTGCTCCAGTATTTTTTATATTTTTCAAAAATATTCTCTGTAAATTTTCAGCCCATTCCGAGAACTTTTATTTTTGCAGAAAAAACGGCACCATGGTAGTTCTGCTGAAAATAGGGTCGGTCTAGGTTAGTTCTAATCAAATCATACCAAAATCGTATAGCATTATTGTAAACATGGCATGAATACTTCATAAATTATAGATACGTTGGGGAATTATAGAGGGGGGTAGCGCGCCCTGGTG